TGGCTATTCCTCACCAGGGCCCCTTGGAGGGGAGCGGGTTGAGCTTTCCTCCCCGCCCTGACCAGGGCCCCGGCAGCGGAAGACCTCCAGGACCAGCCACCACCATGCTGAGACCACTCTCCGCACACCTGAAGGTACCGGCAGAGGGACAAAGCCACGTGGGTTCCGGGGCCGAGATCTCCAAGACTATAAAAAGCAGCTCCCGGAACCGTGCGGCCGCGGCCACACGACATCTTATTATGACATCTCATTCCTACTTTGACAAACTGGCAGGCTACCGAATGTAGCCTGCCCACATGGCAGAGTCTGGCAAACTCCCCGTGGCGTACCCAATATGCCAAATACCAGTAACAATGATGGGTCTCATTCTCCTAAAGAGCCTTGAATATAATCTCAGGGCTAGGATGAAGGAGACGTTACTGGGGCCTGCTCGAGGCAATCAACAAATAACCCTAACCAGAAAATACATATACATGTGATCCATATGCATGTACTCACTTTGAAAGTAGATGATGAGGTGAATAAGGACAGAGCTAGTACGTGGGGTCATGCACAACCTAATTTTTAGTGCAAAATGAATTTATTTAATGACTTTAGCAAAGGTGACATGAAACTAAAACAACACATCTGGGGGAGATGGTAAAAGTTGACTATGATAGGATAGTTGTGGATAATTTATAAAAAATATAAATTCTTTAATTTTTTGATTTAGATAGTGATGTGGACTTGAAGGCATGTGGTGATGCAAAGAATGACGAAATTCAAACTCCAAGAGAATATCTTCATACTAGATACTTCACACCATTTACAACATTCATAAAATATTCATCACAGCAATAGGTTTTTTTGTATTAATGATGGAATGAAGGAATGGTATAATTTTATGTTATTATCTCTAGATATGACTGGAGTGATAGCACAGCAGATAGGACATTTGCCTTGCACGCAGCCAACAAGGCTGACCCGAGTTCGGAGAGCCCCAGCAAGCTACCGAGAATATCTCACCCGCACGGCAAAGCCTGGCAAGCTACCTGTGATGTATTCGATATGCCAAACAGTAGCAAGTCTCACAATGTTACTGGGCCCGCTCGAGCAAATCAATGAATAATGGGAGGACAGTGACAGTGACAGATATGAGTTTTATGTAATTATACTTAGGACTCTTGTAAGGAAGATTTCTTTACGTCCCATTATATAGATAGAAACACAAGAAGTTTGCTATAAATTTTCAGCTATAATGTATAGAGGTAGAATTGAAATTCAAATCTGCTAGATGTTACATGTGTAAGTGTATATATATTTATGCAAATGTATGCATATTTGAAATGTATATAGATATTTCTTTGATCCAGTTTCTATAAACCTCATGGCAATATGGGAATGCATTAAATGCATTATTTGATCTAAGTCATTAATTAAGTTAATATATATTTGAGGGCTAAAATATAGATCAATGTTAGAATAATCTGGAAGAGATGAGGAAAGAGAGTGAAGTTGAGTGGAGGCAGGAAGAGGCTGGGCAGTGCAGGTTGAGAATACCAGTACAAGATGCCTATTAAGTAGTGACAGATCCCATGTTTATCATGTAAGCATCTGTTCCACTCCCACAGACAGATTAAGTATCAGAACAGTGTGTGTCCAAAGCAATTTAAACACCTCCGTATTTCAACTCATATTAGGTCATATTAAAGTCCCTGTGCACAAAAATGCATGTATCATGTCCATACTTTCAAAACTCAATGTCCTAAGGGCCCATTTCCTAGTAAAAGATCTGGTACAATGGTGAGGATAAACAAATGGGAAAAAAACCACAAACTTATACTGCACATTCTCTGCATACATAACGATTTTCAGTTTGATGAGCTGAAATAAGACAAAACAGAAAGCATAGTGTCAATCTGGAAAATATATTTAAAAAATTAAGTTAGAGCATCAACTTTTAGAGTAAACTGGTTACAATCTCAAAGCCTTCTTTTGCTTAATGACTGCAAGTACTCCAAAAACTTATTATTGATTTAACATAACTAAAGTGCATGGCGCCATCAGATCAGCCTGTAAGGGTTAGATTTTATGTGCATGGCCATAATTAAGTCTCACGAAATTGTCTGAAAAATATACTTACATATTTTATGGATAGGAAAATAAAGTTTTAGAGTAAAAGAGTAGTTCAAGGTAAATCAATGAATGAGTTATGGAGATAATACTGAAAGATTCACGATATCATCTACATCGTTGTGTTCATTATCCCCAAAATTAATTAGTCTGTTGTCTAAGAGCTTACACTTAGCTTGGGTGGTGGTCAGTGATGATATAGTATAGGTAAGTTCTAAGAAGGCAAATATTTGTGGAAATTTCACTATTTGTGGTCTACCTTAGGGCCCAGAAAGTTATCATACACCTTTTGTTTGAAATCACTTTATTCCATAGTAGTTATGAAATTGCTTTTTAAAACTAGTCAGCCTATTTATTTCATTTTTTTATTTCAGACACTTGACTTTATGAAGCATAGTTCTAGATGCTCGGTTTTGAAAAAATTAAATTTATCACTGCATATTCAAGATGAATATTTTAATTAATTGGTGAATAATGAAAAATTGAGTTTTTCTAAGTACTTGATTTCTAATAAGACTAATTTTACCCCCTCCATAGACCCATTTACCACCCTCCCACCCACATAAGATGACACGTAGTTAATCTGTTTCAAGTTATGATTAATTAGCTTTAATCTGGTCCTGTTACAAAAGTAACAATGCTCATTGCATATTTTAAAATATAGTGAAAATGTGAAATTAATTTATAGTAAAATATCTCCAGAAAATATGAAATTAATTTACAGTAACATATATCTGGATAGTATTTCTTAATTTATCTTTTTAAAATTTTACTTAAATTACTTTTTGTCAACTTCAAAAGCAGCTTTAGAAAAACTGAATAATGAATAGGGAGGAGTAGAGTTTTCCTATATATCTTCTGCCTCTACACATTTATAAACTGTTCTGTACCTATTACCTCTCACCATTTATTACAATTGATGAACTCACAATAGCACTGTAGCACTGTCCTCCTGTTGTTCATCAATTTGCTAGAGCAGGCACCAGTAATGTCTCCATTGTGAGACTTGTTGCTACTGCTTTTGGCATATTGAATACACCACAGGGAGCTTGCCAGGCTCTTCCGTGCAAGCGGGATACTCTAGGTAGTTTGCTGGGCTTCCCGAGAGAGACGGAGGAATCAAACCTGGTTCAGCCATGTGCAAGGCAAACACCCTAACTGTTGTGCTATCGCTCCAGCCCGATGAACCCACATTGACATAAAATCAACCAAAATATTATGAATGGTAGAGTTTTTGGCTTTGAATACAGTTTAATGTATCCATATTCATAGAGTAACATGAAATCTTTATGCTTCTCTGAAAATTCTACAAGTATCCATGTGGATGCTTTGGTATAGACAGAAATTAATCGATGAGTGTGTGTATGTGTGTGCGTAAGCTTATGAGGCCACATGTGTTTATGCTTAAGGCTTACTCCTGGCTCTATACTCAGGAATCATCCCTGACATGCTGGGAGGACCATATGTGTTGTCAAGGATCAAACCTGTGCCAGCCCTATGTAAGGCAAGCACACAATCAGTTGTTTTATTTCTCTGATTCCACTTTATTATTTTAAATAGAAACAACAGAGAGATACTATAGGAAATAAGGTGCTTGCCTTGCATGCAGCAGACCTCAGTTCAATCGTGGCAGAACATATGGTTGTCTGGAGACAATTATTATATATACATATATATATTTGTATATATATGTCTACATGCACAGACTTATATACATGTACACACATATAGAGAGAGAGGTAAAGTTGATTTACAAGAGCATAAACATTTACATATTTAGGGAAAAAGGTTATTTCAGCTTTACTAATTCTCTAATATTGATATAAATTTTCTCCTGTTTGGGATAGATACTGGGGAACAATATTGCTGAATAGAATTTTAGTTTTTTAAAGGATATACTACACTGTCTTCTAATTTTGTAGTAGCAGTTTGGGTTCTTATGAACACTGAATGAGAGTCCCTATTGCTTTACATCTTCACCAGCATTTGATAGTGTCACTGTTCTAGATATAGGATATATTAACATGGATACAGTTGTATTTTGTTTTAATTATGTTTCCTTGATAACAAAGGATATGGAGTGTATTTTCACATACATATCATACATATTAGCACCTGTAAATATTCTATGGTGATATAAGAATCATTAGATTTTGTGTTTGCTTTCCAGATATGTTTATACACCTTCACTGCAAAAATTCATCTAGATTTGAAGTAGTTTACTTTTACTTGTTACTTTTACAACAATGACTAAACATTGTGCATATAAAAACTTAAAAGTACACATATTATAGCTCAAGACAGGGAAGGAATGATAAGGATGTGATATAATTGCCCTCTCTTTTTAAATAACAAATATTCCCTACTACATTTTTTAACCTCTATAGAACTCACAGAAGCATCAAATGTTCCTTAAAAGAGGACTTCTAGAAATACATTATTTTTATTTATCACTTTAATAATAATATGTTTTTCTTTGAAACTTTGATGAGGGGTTTAAGTGTTTCCAACTATTGGGAGCAAGTTAATATGAAGAATAAACCATAAGAGATAATGATATTCAGACATCTGACCCTGTAAAGAGTAGGTACTTCTGACACTTAGTCTTTTAAGGCAAAAACTGACATATTACTAGTGAGTGACTATACTTCTAAGCTCATACTTCTAAGCTTATGATTATTTTGACCTGGTGGATGATGGTTGATTATTTGTAAATAATGGTCTTGAGATGAATTAGATCTCTGAAATTAGATTTTCCACATATAAGATCATAAAATGGATACAAATCAGATGTTAAATATGATCAATCAGCCACGAGAATATGCACTAATTGTTCTCCCCATCTTTTTTTTTCTTTGTGTGTGTGTGTGTGTGTGTTCATTTTTTAGAATCAGATGTTGCTGACTTTGATGGACGAAGCTCCCTCCTGTACAGGTTCAATCAGAAGCTGATGAGTACTCTCAAAGATGTCATCTCTCTGAAGTTTAAGAGTATGCAAGGAGACGGGGTCCTGTTCCATGGAGAAGGTCAACGTGGAGACCAGATCACCCTGGAGCTCCAGAAAGGAAGACTCATCTTGCACCTCAATTTGGGTAGGAAGAAATCTTTGCCCCTTGCTTTATTTCAAGGTCTCGGGGAACTCCTTTTGTAGGAAGTCACATTTACGTGTCCCCTTGTTGGTTTATATAGAAGTGACTAGAGCTGTATAGGTTTTTGTTTTTTGGGTGAAACAGAAAGTTTTTATTGAAACTCATTTAGAAAGAAGCAAGGAGAGAGAAAGGAAGAAGTACATGTTTAAGAGAGAACACAGGTTTTTCAAGAGCGAAAAAAGGCAAGCAAAAACCTTGAAACAAATAAGCTGACTAAATGTTTATCATCTATCTATTATCTATATGTTCCCAATTCATCCATTTTCTAATCTACCTATTTCTTTAGTTAAAAACAACAACTTTATCTTGTACAAATTTAAGCCCACAATGGAACAATCTATCATTTCTGGCACATTTGTGCAAGATAAATTCAGTAGGAAGTTAGGAAGAAACCTTCCAATTTCTTGGGGCTATTGAAGGCCTGGAGTGGGAAATGGTCCCTATGTGTCACAGAAAAATCTAAATTTCCAAGACCTCTCTCAGCTCCCATGTTCTGATATTGAAGAAACTAGGAACCTGGTTTATATGTAGGATTACCAAATTGGAAATTCACATAATATAGAATGTTCTTCTTCCTCTTTTTTTTTCATTGAGGGCATGAGATTCCTGTTATGGGCTGGCATTTATTATGGCCTGTGTCAGCATAGACAAGTCTTCATTTTATTGTGACTAATTTCCTGTGTCAGAAAAAGAAACTAGTCCTGAACTAGGGATGAAGGATCCAGATGAAGGTTAAGAAGACAGAAGGCAAGGGTCAGAGTATTAAAGAAACAAAGGCAAGCAAAAAATAATAGTTATTCTGTAGGAATAGAAATCAACAAAATAGACAAAATTACAAAAAAGAAAGTGGCTGTCTTTTAAATGAACCTCTGCTCCTCACTGGTATTAAGAGAAGAGGTGAATAAATTATGTGTGTAATATTATCATTACAAGATGTTTTCAAGTAGTAAAGCTAAGGCATAGAATAATTTATTAAAGATTAGAAATATGATCGATAAATAGATTTTTTCTATTAGCAGGATGGAGATTGGCGTGGATTCACCCCATATATCATACTCTTTGGAAATTGGGGATTTTCTTTCTATGTTCTTAAATTCCATGTCAATTTTATAAAAGTTAACAGGGTGAACATGAAAATCACAAGTGTAACTCATAACACTGACATCTGATGCTTAACATTAAATATAAACACCCATGACATCTTTCGGAACAGATTCTAACCCAGGAGTAGTAGTGAGAAATTGTTAGTAAAATAACTTGTTATATGAAAATACCTGGGCTAGAGTGATAGCACAGTGGGTAGGGCATTTGCCTTGCACACAGCCAACATGGCCAACCTGAGTTTGATTCCTCCGCCCCCTCAGAGAGCCCGGCAAGCTACCGAGAGTATCTTGCCCGCATAGCAAAGCCTGGCAACCTACCCGTGATGTATCCGATATGCCAAACACAATGGAGATGTTACTGGGCCCACTTGAGCAAATCGATGAACAATGGGAGGACAGTGACAGTGACAGTGATGAAAATACCTGAACAAGTAATTTATCAATATGCTATGTGGATGTTGGTAATACAAATATCTAACATACATCTAATTTTGGGCATTAAGCTTCAAGGAAGAAATAGATAAATGGACGAGACCCCCAAATACAAGTGGCTCAAAAAGTATAGTGGGTTGTAAATAAAGTTAGTAGTTAGTACTAAGAAACTAACCTTGACTTTCATAATTGAATCTGCTCATTACTGCCACTTATAGTACCAATGCAGATATACCTCTCCAAAACTCTACTTCAACATCCCTAATTCAATGTCACACACACACACACACACACACACACACACACACACACACACACACGCATACATATAATCATGGAAATGAATAGGTATGGTTGTATAACAAATTTTAATTTCCTTTCAAATATGTAATATTTTATGGGTAAATTTACAATGGTTCCTAGTGTAATTGTTTATAATCTTTTAAATGTTAAATAGTTTAATCTATGTTTAAGCTACAAATCACTATCTTGAGTAGACATTAAAATAAAAATATTACAAGTTAAATAATTTTCTATGCAAGTCAGTAATCAGTGACAAAACCAAAGTGGTAGAACTTTTTTTTTTTTTTTGCTTTTTGGGTCACACCTGGCAATGCACATGGGTCACTCCTGGCTCTGCACTCAGGAGTCCTGGCCGTGCTCAGGGAAACATATGGGATGCTGGGAATCGAACCCGGGTCGGCCGCGTGCAAGGCAAATGCCCTACCCGCTGTGCTATCTCTCCAGGCCCAGAAATGTTTAATACCACTTATTCAACAAATAATATTTGAGTTTCTCATTCTCTATGGTTAAGCCTGTCTTCCTGAATGAAATATTTAGATATATTAAGATGTATTTTATCTGCTCCTTGTTTTGATACACAGTAGGTAAATAAATCTTTTATTTATTTCACCCTTGATAGTCCATCTGCTCCATTTTCTAATTCACTGGGTGAGAAGTAAAGACTTCGTTTGTTAATGATTCATAAGTGAAAATACGTTTTATCTCTATTTGGTAAAATTTAAATATTTTTTAAATATTTTTTTGCCGTTGTTCACTTGTGGCAAACACTTCTATCATTTCACCATGATTACTCTTGGACTTTCTTGATGTTTGAAGCTACCTAATTTAATTTTTCAGCAGCATAGTTTTCTAGTTACCTTCTCTAGCAAAAGAGCCAGATATCAGTATTTAAATTCTTCATAGCTCAGGTGCCAGAAGCTAATCTTTAGAAGTCCTAACTTAACTGGAAAGAGAATGTTAGTAGCTTTGATTTAACCATAATGTAAACTCTATAATGTAGGTTTCAAAAGAACAAGATGACACTTTGTATATTGTTATAATACTAGAAACTGAAAGAGCATCTGCCAGATGTAGGTGCTTGATTTATTAAGGTCTGTTATATATATATACATATATATATATTACTGATTCTTCTCACTCCCCAATTCTGTGCTCCTGTGTCATTATACATCAATCTCTCTTCTTTAGTGGCCCAATATCCTAAGTTCACAGTATGCCACTATCCTTTCCATGCCTTAAAGCAACAGTGTCATTTATTTTTTAATTTTTATTTATTTATTTATTTTGTTTTATGGCAACACTTGGCAGTGCTCAGGGATTGTTCCTGGCTTCGTGCTAAGAAATCACTTCTGGAGATGCTCAGGGGCCCAGGTGGATGCCAGGAATCAAAGTTAGGTCATCTGCATGCAAAGCAAGTGCCTTACCCATTCTACCATTTCTTTTTTTATTTTTTTATTTTATATAGTTCACAATACTTGGTTATATTTAATATTCAAGCACCAATCCCACCACCATCACACCTTCCCATCACCATATTTCAAGTGATTTCATCCCAAACCCCAATCTGTGCCCCAAAGAAGAACTGAATGTTTTATTTTGTATTGTTTGTTATAAAAAAAACTGTTGAAAATGCTAAAGAAAAGTTTCCTTAGAGGAAAGAGTGTGAATAATGTTATATTTCACCCAGGAACCATTAAGCCCTTCTATAAGATATCACTAGCATGTTAAAGGTTGAGACTTGTGTGCTTTTTTATATATGTATCTGTAAGGAAAAAATGCATGTTTGTCTTCTCCTCTGAACACTATCAGATTTGGTGCCATAATCTTGGAGGATGGGTAGGGTGTGTGGTTTGAAGTATCGTGCAGCCACATTTGCGGCCATGTGGTCCAGGAATAGATTCTCTCGTGGGTGATGCTCTGTCCAAGTGTGTGGAGGGTGACCATGAGCATGGCGACAGCTGGGTTCTGGAGGTTGTTGGCTGCTGGTGCTGGGTCCCTTGGGGCAGGGAGGGGTCTCACCCACCCCTTTTGGGGCACCTCTTGTGAAACAGCCTGGCATAGGGTCCAGTGGCATCCACTCTATCACTTCTTAGGTCCCTCAGCAATATTATTTAAATGCACATTATCTCCAGTCCACCCAGCTGTAATAATGGATTCAGAGAATATACATTACTTAAAAGATTTTCACAGATAGATTTTAGATACAGAATTATTAATATCTAACCAGTTTTTTAAAAATATTAGTTTCAGATAACAGAACACATGTCAATTCTAGAAAAAGTGGAGAAAAAAATAGTAAGAACTATGAAAAAAGGAAGATAAACCACTTGAAAGTCTATAACCCAACCATCATTCCTATCATTTTTAAATAAATTTTAAGAATCGTATAGGCTTACTAAAAACATAATTTTTAAATAATTAATTAATTTTTAATGGAATCACCATGAGATCCAAAGTTACAAAGTTGTTCGTGATTGTGTTTCAGTTATGCTATGTTTGAACACCGTCTTTTCACCAGTGTGCATTTCCCACCACTGATGTCCCCAGTTTTCATCCAACACTCCTCCATCTCCTGATCCTATAGCCTGCCTTTACGGCATATATCTTCTATCTTTTCTGTTTTACTTTTAGACACTGTGGTTTTCTGTACTGTTACTAAAACAATATCATGCATATCACTTTACCTCCTTTCGGCATCCTGTTCTTATCCAGACTGATCATTTCCAGCTATCATTGTCATGGTGGTCCCTTCTCTGTTTTAATTGCACTCCCCCATTCTCCATGTGGCAAGCTTCCAGACATGGACCAGTCCTCCAGACTCTCATTTCTAGTGTCTTTGTATATTTTTATCATACTGATAACAGAATTTTCATGTGCTATATAGAACTCATGTTCTTTTCATGATTCCACATAGTCTCTAAATCAGAAAGAGTTCAAACATTCATTAGTTTGTTCTTTAAGGAAATAAATTAATAATGAAAGAATGTACAAAAAAAGTGAAGTCAGGAAGGCAAGAAGAATCTAAATTAATGGACTAAAGATCAGAAGTGGGCTGGTAAACAAAGTCTGTCCCTTCCCAGTTGATAGAATAACTTTTCAGCCTAT